AAGGACATATTATACACTTGGATTAGTGTATGATAGTCCCACCAATCGTTCATATCATTTGGAAAATGAAAAGTAAAGTCTTGGGGTTAAAACTCACTTTTAGAAGATTAAATCCTCTCCTGCGAGGTTGTGTTTTGCTCGGACGATTTGGAAGCCTTCCACAACTCTGATTCCTGCAAACCAGACCTTCACGGATTCCTCGTCTTGAGAGCTTTCTGTGGGTATCTCACACGCCTTAATTGGATTTGTAAAACTCGAGATATCGACCAAACAGTCTCAGCACTCTCACAGCTCGAGTTCACAGACCTCTGCTCGTTCCAGATCGATTTTTTGGATGATTGCTATCTCCTCTCGAATTGAGACCACTCAATTATAAAAATAGACTTCAAAAGCTATCCAAGGACACCTCATACACGTTATTTGGTTGAGGATAGCTCCTATAATGAGAGGAGACAAACAGCACACCAATTTGTGCGAAAATAAGAGTGGTGGCCCCAAACTTTGATTCTTATCAAGTCATGTGCAGCTCTTCTCCATAATGGCCGGCCAAGGTAAGTCTCCTAACCCATTTTTATTTGTCTTGCAGGTACTAATATCATGTGGAGTGGTTCCCAATTGATCCCAATCATTTTGGGATCCAAATTATCTACCAATACTTCCAAAAATGGGGAAAATGGGTCCTATTGTTTTATCTTTGTGAAAAGATGTCTTTTTGTACTCATCCTAATTTATTTAGAACAAGTCAACTTCTCAAATCACATTATTGATCTCCAATATGTGTAGGCTCATCCCAATAATTTACTTGATAGATATTATAGAAGGAAAATCCTACTCCCATTATGTAGCTCAATAAGGCCAAAGGTGGGGTTATAGGCATTTGTATTCTTCTTTAATCATCCTATCACTTATTTGACATTTGTCATACATATTATTGGGCTACTAGCCGTGTGGGTCACCCCCGAGTGGATCCAGAACGCCATTCTCGAATACTTGCTATTTTTAGCAGGTTGGGCCCAAAATGAGTATTCGCAAGCCCGATACTAATATACGAGTTCGAACAGTATAATAATCGGTCATTAATTACGTAAAACATTAATCGTTTAACAAATGTTTGGGAATCAGAAATCCAATACATAAACTTTGAATTTTAAATCAAATTTTCAAGGACCTTCGGGAGCGGTGTCACAAGTTCACCCCCCCTTAACAGGAATTTCGTCCCCGAAATTCACAGCTCTACTCAAATAGGAATGCATACTGCTTCCTCATCAAAGCTTCTGTTTCCCAAGTCTCTTCTTCGACCCGGTCACTTTTCCAAAGGACTTTAACCATTGGAACTTCTTTACTCCTCAGTTTCTTCACTTTTCTGTCAATAACTCTTACCGGTTGCACGGCATAGTTCAAATCTTCACGTACCTCCACGGGCGGCTTCTCCAACACATGAGAAGGATCATGCACATACTTCTTAAGCATGGATACATGAAACACATTATGTATCTTCTCTAACTCAGGAGTCAACTGTAGACGATATGCAACGGCTCCAATCCTCTCTATAATCCTAAATGGACCTATATATCGTGGGTTAAGCTTTCCTCGGGTTTGGAACCGAATGATCCCTTTCCAAGGAGAAACTTTCAAGAATACCTCGTCATCAACCTTAAACTCTAAGGTTCTTCGACGCTTATCTGCATAACTCTTTTGTCTATCCTGAGCCGCTTTGAGTCTCTCTCGAATCAACTTCACCTTTGATTTGGTGACCTCAACCAACTCAGTACCCTCGAGTTTGGCCATGCCAACCTCGTCCCAGCATAATGGTGTACGGCACCTCCTCCCATACAATGCCTCGTATGGAGGCATGCCGATGCTTGCCTGATAGCTGTTGTTATAGGCAAACTCCACAAGTGCTAAGTGGTTGTCCCAACTTCCCTGGAACTCCAATGCACAAGCCCTCAGCATGTCTTCTAGGATCTGTATGACTCTTTCAGACTGCCCATCCGTCTGTGGGTGGAAAGCAGTACTGAACTTCAACCTCGTTCCCATAGACTCCTGAAATTTTGGCCAAAAACGTGATGTGAATCGTGGGTCTCTGTCAGATACAATGGTCACTGGGACCCCATGCAGCCTCACGATCTCATCCGTATACAATTTGGCTAACCTCTCAAGTGGGTAAGTAGTGTTGATAGGCAAGAAGTGTGCACTCTTTGTGAGCCCATCTACGACAACCCAAACTGCATCATAGTTCCTGATTGTCCGTGGCAACCCTACCACAAAATCCATAGTCACGTGTTCCCACTTCCATTCAGGAATGGAAAGTGGTTGCAATAAGCCTGCTGGATGCTGATGCTCTGCCTTAACTTGTTGACAAGTAAGGCATCGACTGATATATTCGGCTATTTCTCTCTTCATACCTGACCACCAGTAACTCTTCTTCAGGTCACGGTACATCTTCGTGCCCCCCGGGTGCATGGCATAAGCCGATGAATGAGCTTCCTCTAAGATGGACTTTCGGAGCTCGTCATCTGCCGGGACACACACTCGGTCACGAAATAATAAGAGACCGTCATCTCTTTCTCTGAAGTCCTCCACCGGTCCCGCTTGCATGCGTTCCCGGATCTTCATAATTTCTTCGTCAGTTTCCTGACCCTTCTTGATCTCATCAAGTAAAGTAGGTCTCACCTCAAATCGTGCCAATAAGGCACCATCGCTGGATACCTCCAGTTGGGCTCTTAATGCCCTCAAATTAGCTAGCAATGGCCCAGACGAGCTTTTCCGGCTCAAAGCATCTGCCACCACGTTAGCCTTGCCTGGGTGATACTCTATCACCAGATGGTAGTCTTTTATCAACTCCATCCACCGTCTCTGTCTCATGTTTAGCTCTTTCTGAGTAAACACGTATTTCAAGCTCTTGTGATCAGTGTATATGTGACATGTCTCCCCGTAGAGATAATGTCTCCATATCTTCAGTGCAAACACCACTGCCCCCAGCTCCAAATCATGAGTAGGATAATTCACCTCATGCTTCTTCAACTGTCGTGAAGCATAGGCGATTACCCTCCCATTCTGCATCAGTACACACCCAAGCCCTTGGATGCTCGCATCGCTATAGACATCGTACCCCACACCCTGTTTGGGTAATGCAAGTACCGGTGCCTCGGTCAATCGTTTCTTTAGTTCCATGAACCCCTTCTCACATTTGTCATCCCATACAAACTTAGCTCCTTTACGAGTGAGCTTCGTCAATGGTGATGCCAAAACAGAGAACTTCTCCACGAACTTCCTGTAGTAGCCTGCCAATCCAAGGAAACTACGAATTTCCTTGACGTTCTTTGGCCTCTCCCATTCGGTAATGGCTTCTATCTTCTTGTTATCAACAGCAATTCCCGATCCAGAAACCACGTGCCCGAGGAAGCCAATCTCCTTTAGCCAAAATTCACATTTAGAAAATTTGGCATAGAGTTGCTTCTCCCGTAGTGTCTCAAGAACAAGTATCAAGTGCTCTTCATGCTCTTCTTCACTCCTTGAGTAAATCAAGATGTCATCTATGAACACAATCACGAATCGGTCCAAGTATTTATGAAATACTCGGTTCATCAAGTCCATGAATGCCGCCGGGGCGTTTGTTAACCCAAACGACATAACAAGGAATTCAAAATGCCCATACCTTGTGCGGAAAGCACTCTTTGGTATGTCATCCTCCTTAATCTTCAATTGGTGGTACCCCGACCTCAAGTCAATCTTTGAAAATACGGTTGCTCCTCGTAGTTGATCAAATAAGTCATCAATCCTAGGCAAAGGATACCTATTCTTGATTGTGACCTTGTTCAGTTGACGATAGTCAATGCACATTCGGAGTGTCCCATCTTTCTTTTTCACAAAAAGAACTGGTGCTCCCCACGGGGAGTGGCTGGGTCTAATGAAACCATTATCCAAAAGCTCCTGCAATTGGGTTTTCAACTCGTTAAGTTCAGCGGGTGCCATACGGTATGGCGGTATGGAGATTGGTTTGGTGCCGGGCTCAACCTCGATCACAAACTCAATCTCCCTATCAGGTGGAAGCCCCGGTAAGTCTTTAGGGAAGACATCCGGATACTTACAAACCACCCTCACATCATCGATGTTCGTTTCTTCTTTGGTTTTGTCAACCACGTATGCTAGATATGCGTGGCATCCCTTTCTCATCATACTTCTCGCTCTCACGGCGGATATGATGCAGCTATTTGATCTCCCTCGATCGCCCTCGAAGCGTAGGGTCTCCCCATCATTGCCTTCGAGTTCAAGAACCTTCGTGTAGCAATCTACCCTAGCATGGTTCCTTTCTAGCCAATCCATCCCTAGGATTGCATCGAATTCCATCATGCTCAGCGGTACGAAGTCACACGTCAAGGTTTGACCATTAACCTCCACCCCACAAGATGGATAGTAACAAGTTCTTTCCACGTCATCCCCTAGTGGTGTTGACACCACTAAGGTTTGCATCAATGGTGCGGATTGCACTCCCAACCTCTTGGCGAACGCTTCATTCACAAATGAACGTTGCGCCCCGGTATCGATAAGGATTCGCGCATCCTTCCCATTAATCTTTAGTGTTCCTACATTTATAAGTCATGTAAGATACCTTTCCTACCATTCTTACACATTTAGAGAGGTTTATTATGTTCACACATGTGTTTGGGATCAAGAACGGGTCTTAACGTCGCAAAACGGTGCGAAAAATCTATCCTCGGCCATCTGGGTGCCAGGCACGGCGTGCCTGGGGTAGGCACGATCGTGCCTGGCTTGGGAAAAAGCCCTGGGCGCTACTGCCTCCCAGGCACGGTGCCACGCACGGCGTGCCTGCGACCGTGCCTGGCTGAATTTCCTCGAGGAGGCCACTGCCTCCCAGGCACGGTGCCACGCACGGCGTGCCTGCAGCCGTGCCTGGCCGGAACTCCTTAGCGAGGCCACTGCCTCCCAGGCACGGTGCCACGCACGGCGTGCCTGCAGGCGTGCCTGGCCGGCAGTGGCTGTTTCCAGCCCGATTTGGCCTAACTCACCCGGTTTGGCCCCGGGGTGGCCCGCACTCAATCCCAACGACGTACATGGTCTAAGTAAGCCTAAAAGTGCCCAAATTAAATGTATTACCAGCGATGGAGTCGGGATTAGCCCGAGCATCGGCCTCGGTCATTGCGTAGACTCTAGCTTGCGTCCTTCCTTGATTCACGGACGGCGCGTTACTCGCGCTTGCTCCCCCTTGCCCCCTGGTTACTTGGGAGCCCCCGGCTTGGTTTCTACTTCCCGCAGCCCCGCTACTTGGTCCTGATGTCCTTGCCCCACCCAACTGGGGGCAATGCGCCTTCAAGTGTCCGGCATCCCCACATTGGAAACATCTAGGGGGGTCACGACATTTACCGGAGTGGTGTTTCTTGCAATTGTTGCAACGAGTTACCACTGAGGCTTGTGACCTCGAGCCTTGCCCACTCGGGCCTTGGTTCCCCCTAGATGGTGGCGGTGGTGCTCGGAAAGGTCCTCCCCCATGATTCCCCTTCTTGTTGGAACCTTGAGAGCCATGACTCTCCCACTTTCTCTTTTTCGCCTCTTCGGCGTCTTTCTTCTTCCTTTCTTCCCATTGTTTCTCTCCTTTCAACGCTTGGTCAACCACTTGGGCGAAAGTCATATTAGGCAATTGTGTTGCCCTATCACGTATCTCCAAGTCAAGAGCATCCCAAAAGTGGTTTACCATTCGGTTCTCGTCACAAGCATACTCCGGTATGTAGTCGGCGAGATCCCGGAACTTGTACTCAAGTTCCTTCACTGTCATGTTACCCCCTTGGGTTAGGAGGGTGTATTCCCTCACCTTCTTGTTTACTTCAAAATCAGAATAATATTGGGCAAAGAACTCCCGTTGGAAGTCCTCCCAAACGACGGTCTCACCGTACTTGCTCTTGGTTCCATCCCACCACTTGGATGCCATCCCCTCGAGCAATCTTACCGCAATTCTCAGTTTGAGATTCGGCGCGATTTGCATGTCAAGGGCTGCTTTGTGACACCGCACCCGAACGTCCTTGAAAACTTGATTTTAAAATTCAAAGTTTATGTATTGGATTTCTGATTCCCAAACGATTGTAAAACGATTAATGTTTTACGTAATTAATGATCGATTATTGTACTGTTCGAACTCGTATATAAGTATCGGGCCTTATTAATAAATAAAAGAGCCTAACATTATCTAAATAGTAATACATAACGTTTCAAGACAAGTTGAGGAAGGGCGGGCGGCCGAGATATTATTTTGGGCTCAACCCGCTAGAATAGCAAGTATTCGAGAATGGCGTCGTAGGCCCACTCGGGGGCGACCCACACGGCTTGTAGCCTAATAATATGAATGGCAAATGTCAAAATAAGTGATAGGATGATTTGAGAAGAATACAAATGCCTATAACCCCATCTTTGGCATTATTGAGCTAAATAATGGGAGTAGGGTTTTTCTTCTATAATATTCATCATGTAAATTATTGGGATGCTCATACACATATTGGAGATCAATAATATGATGTAGAGAGTTGACTTGTTCCAAATAAATTAGAATGAGTACAAAGAGACATCTTATGACAAAGAGATCAAAAGTGAGACCCACCCATGTCTAAAAACATCTCATGGAGACCATACCAATTCATTTCACTCCACACAACTTATCCACCCTTATTGAAGGGTCTTGGACACTCCCTTAAGCCCCTCATTCGAACTCCCAAGGATAAGGGAGAAAGAGAGAGCCACACAACCAAGAAAGCAAGAGGAAGGGGAAGCTGCCGCAGGTTCGTTTTCCAGTGCGTAAGGTTACTTGTTTGCTTCATATCTCGAGTTATACACATCCAAATAAGGCGTGCGAGATACCCACAGAAAGCTCTCAAGACGAGGAATCCGTGAAGGTCTGGTTTGCATCAATCGGAGTAGTGTAAGGCTTTCAAATCGTCCGAGCAAAACACAACCTCGCGGAATACGTTGTTGTATTCAAAGTAAGTTTGAATCCAAAACCTTCCTCTCTATTGTCTAAACCATATAAATGATTGAAGAACTATTATACACTGATTGAAGTGTATAAAATGTTATTATAAAGTGACTTTAATTGTTGGAAAAGTTAGATACTAATCTAGACAAAACCTTGAAAGGTTAGGGAACGATTTCGTCGGGAAACACCCGTTCTAGGGACTGTTTTTGTGTCTTCGGTTAGGAGTTGAACTAGCACTTTGAAGAGGCTGTTTAACACTCAATTCCAAGCAAGGAATCAGTCCTCAATCTTCCTTGGCCGAGGCTTTGGTCATTGGATCGAGAAGGAAGGTTTTAAAGCTCATTTGAGGTGAGGATGACCGACTATATTGCTTATAATCTTTGGGTTAATTTCATAAGATTACCTAAAGTAATTAAATGTGATTTTCATGGATTATTAATGATTAATAATGCCTAAATGAAAATATTGATGTTTATGAGTTGAAGATGCATAATATACAAATTTATGGGTAAATGATGTATAGTTATGCATTATAAGTATAACGATGTGATGATTGTATAAACCATGACTTTTGTGATAAAATATACTTTTACTTCATGTATAGAAATCATGAATGGATAAAAGTGATATTTTTGATATTGAGATTAATCATATACGGATTGGGGAATTTAAAGGAATGAATCCTATAACTACGGATTAGAGAGCTTGGTGGCTTAATGATGAATGGACTAGTATTGAAATTACTAGTTGGAAAATGTTAGTATGGAAAAGTGATAGAACAAATCCTAAGGGCTTGGATTGCGAAAGATGCACCTTAAGCAGTCTTATGAGATGTCTTAAGGTAGGAATGGGCAACCGCTAAATTACATTAGGAGTAGGCCTCATAGGCTACTCAAGATAGAGAAACCCTAGGCATAGAATTTGCTTAGTGAGTTAGGATCGTGACTAGAGGAAGCCTCTAGCACGATGAAGAATGACTGGAGGAAGCCTCCAGCATTCGTGTTGGACGACTAGGGGAAGCCTCTAGCGTAGTGTAGGATGACTAGAGGAAGCCTCTAGCATAATGTAATGTGACTGGAGGAAGCCTCCAGCACAAAGTATGTAAGGTGATTAGAGGAAGCCTCTAACACCGAATTTAGTGACTAGAGGAAGCCTCTAGCACGATGAAGAATGACTGGAGGAAGCCTCCAGCATTCGTGTTGGACGACTAGAGGAAGCCTCTAGCGTAGTGTAGGATGACTAGAGGAAGCCTCTAGCATAATGTAATGTGACTGGAGGAAGCCTCCAGCACAAAGTATGTAAGGTGATTAGAGGAAGCCTCTAACACCGAATTTAGTGACTAGAGGAAGCCTCTAGCACGACAAAAACATGACTAGAGGAAGCCTCTAGCATGGTGAACTAATATTGATGGGCGTGGCTTGAAGTCACGGGGAAAGGGTTGAACGTTTCCAAGGAGAACATAGGTCTTCGGGCCGACTACTTGACTTTATATATATAAAGTAAGTATACTTTCAAAGAGGGTAACCACGGGTTATGACCTATAAAATAATGACATCCTAGATTGAGGGTCTTGGAAATTGAAACTTTGATTATACTTAGTATAGTTGTCATTGTACTTGTCAAATGCTTCCAAGTACTGACCTCCCCTTCACGGGGGAGGCCACCTCACAGTTTCAGGTAGAACTTGAAGGTTGCTACCACCGCCCGTTGCCTCGGGAAGATCAAAGGAGGGAGACGTGGTCCGTGCTTCTTCCGTATCTATTGTAAAAACATCTAAATAACGCTCATGGATATTATTTCTTTTAAATATTTATTTGGGGGCTTGTATGCCCCTGTTCGCCAAGGTGTGGCATGAACACTTGTATTGAATGTTTCCGCTGCTTTAAACGAATATTTTACATTATGTTTGTTTATGGATGTACTATGTGTGAATGATATTCCAGACGCCTTGTATAGTATGGATGTGTTGGACTGCGGTTGACTATTCGTACTGTACGGCGGGTTGTTGACGTGTCCGGTTAGGTCCGGGGCGTGACAATTTAATTGGTATCAGAGCCAGGTTGTCCGTAAACTTCATAATGAAGCTTCAAAATCCCTTTTGAAAATGATTTTGAAAACCATGAGCATAAAAGTTTTGCACTTATAGAACTTTTGGTACTTGAGTTGCAAAGTCTCTAATTGTTAAGATGGTACCTTTAACAATTGGTATGACGGTGATTTGAGCCAAAGGATGTCTTTAAGTGCCTATCCGTCACTTGACATTGATACGAGTCTAATGGCTCATTCTCAATTTCTTTCTGAAATGGAACGTACCGGGAAAGTTACTCGACGGAACCCGACTGGCCAGGCACCGGGAAGGTCCCAACGTGGCAGTCGGGGAGCATCGAGGATGTCCGGGGGACAAGGTCGTGCAGGCCACTCGCTGACCGTGAGTGACGGCCATGTTGAGACGATTGACGAGCATTATGAATCCGAGGAGGATTCAACTTACCGGCCGGGAACTGAGCCGGTTGAAACCCCATATGATGGAGGGGACGATGACGTTAGCGAAGAGAGCGATGATAATGACGCTCTCGAGAGGATTGAGGAATTGCTTCGGCAATACCAACAAGATCGCCAAAGGCGCCGGGCAAGGCGTGCTTCGGGAGGGGCTTCGAGAAGAGGGAGCCGTGTTAGCTCTAGGGAACATGAGGAGTCCCGAGGAGGAAGAGGTACCGAGGTTCCCATCATAAGAATCTCGAAATACCTCAAAGAGGCGAGAGAGTTGGGATGCAAACCATTCGATGGAATGGGAGACATCTCCGTGGCAGCCGAATGGATCAAAAGATTCAATGAAGCGGCCCTTGATATGCAGCTGCCACCCCATATGAAGATGGGAGTGGCAACAAGATTGCTAGAAGGAATGGCGTCCACATGGTGGGACGGTGTCAAGGGGAAGTATGGTGAGGCGGTCACTTGGGAGAACTTTAGGCAAGAATTCTTTAGCCAATACTACTCCGACTTCGAGGTGAACTTGAAGAGGAGGGAGTACACGAATTTGACCCAAGGAGGGGAATGCACGGTGAAGGAACTTGAGCACAAATTCAGAAAGCTTGCTGAGTTCATACCGGAGTACATTTGTGATGAAAATCGGATTGTGAACCATTTCTGGGACGCCTTGGACCTTGATATACGTGAGAGGGCAACACAATTGCCTAATATGACGTTTAGCCAAGTGGTCGAACAAGGCTTGAAGGGGGAGAAAGAATGGGAGGAAAGGAAGCGAAGAAATGCCGAGGAGGCAAGGAAAAGAAAATGGGAGAACCATGGCACCCAGGGTTCAAACAAGAAGGGGAATCACGGGGGAGGAGGATCCTTCAGGGCACCCGCACCACCATCAAGGGGGAATCCCAACATGGGTGGGCAAAACTCGGGGTCACAAGCCTCGACGAAGCCTAAGTGCAGGAATTGCAAGAGAAATCACGAGGGCAAATGTCGTGATCCCCCACGGTGCTACCAATGCGGAGATACGGGGCACATAAAGCCCAATTGCCCTCAGCTTGGTGGGAACCGGTCATCAGGACCAAGCAATGCCACCACGGTGAGTAGAAACCGGGGTGGGGCACCAAATGCAAGCACGAACCACGGCGGGGCAAGTACAAGCAACGCACCCTCCGTGAACCAAGGAAGGACCCAAGCGAGAGTGTACGCAATGACCGAGGCCGATGCTCGGGCTAATCCCGACTCCGTCGCAGGTAATACACTTATTCTGGTCATTTCTAGGCTTACTTTGATCATATGCGTCGTTGGGATTGAGTGCGGGCCACCCCGGGGTCAAACCGGGCAAGTTAGGCCAAATCGGCTGGGAAACAGCCACTGCCGGCCAGGCACGGCCGCAGGCACGCCGTGCGTGGCACCGTGCCTGGAAGGCAGTGGCGCGCCGAAGGAGGTTTGGCCAGGCACGGCCGCAGGCACGCCGTGCGTGGCACCGTGCCTGGAAGGCAGTGTCGCCCCGAAGAAAATTTGGCCAGGCACGGCCACAGGCACACCATGCGTGGCACCGTGCCTGGAAGGCAGTATCGCCCGAAGAAAATTTGGCCAGGCACGGCTGCAGGCACGCCGTGCCTGGCACCGTGCCTGGGAGGCAGTGGTGAGCAGGAAGAATCCGAGGCACGCACGGCCGTGCGTGCCACCCAGGCACGCCGTGCGTAGGCCCCAGAACCCGAAAATCGAATTTTTCCGCTCCGTTCTTCTACGTTTGGACCCCCGATTGATTCCAAACATTAGTATGAACCTAATAACCTCCTAATGATGTGTAAAAACATTAGAAAAGGTATCCAACATGGTGTATAAATGTAGGAACATTAAAGATCAATGGTAGGTATGCGAGGATTCTCATCGATACCGGGGCACAACGCTCATTTGTGAGTGAGGCGTTCGCCGAGGGCCTTGACGTGCCATTGACACCTATGATGCAAACGTTGCTAGTCTCCACACCGTTAGGAGACGATGTGGAGAGAAATCATTACTATCCATCATGTGAGGTGGAAGTGACGGGTCAACCCTTGACGTGTGATTTCGTACCGCTGAGTATGATGGAGTTCGATGCAATCCTAGGGATGGATTGGCTAGAAAAGTATCATGCTAGGGTAGATTGCTACACAAAGGTCTTGGGACTCGAAAGCAATGATGGGGATACCCTACGCTTCGAGGGGGACCGAGGCAAATCAAACAGCTGTATCATATCCGCTGTGAGGGCGAGAAGTATGATGAGAAAGGGATGCCACGCTTATCTAGCATACGTGGTTGACTAAGACCAAGGAGGAAACGAACATCGACGACGTGAGGGTGGTTTGTAAGTACCCGAATGTCTTCCCAAAGGACCTGCCGGGGCTTCCACCTGATAGGGAGATTGAATTTGTGATCGAGGTCGAGCCTGGCACCAAACCAATCTCCATACCGCAATACCGTATGGCACCCGCTGAACTTAACGAGTTGAAAACCCAATTGCAAGAGCTTTTGGATAATGGCTTCATTAGACCAAGCCACTCCCCGTGGGGAGCACCGATTCTTTTTGTGAAAAAGAAAGATGGGACACTTCGAATGTGCATTGACTATCGTCAACTGAACAAGGTCACAATCAAGAATATGTATCCTTTGCCTAGGATCGATGACTTGTTTGATCAACTACGAGGAGCAACTGTGTTTTCAAAGATTGACTTGAGGTCAGGGTACCATCAATCGAAGGTTAAGGAAGATGACATACCAAAGAGTGCTTTCCGCACAAGGTATGGGCATTTTGAGTTCCTTGTTATGTCGTTTGGGTTAACAAACGCCCCAGCAGCATTCATGAACTTGATGAACCGAGTATTCCATAAATACTTGGATCGATTCGTGATTGTGTTCATAGATGACATTTTGATTTACTCAAAGAGTAAGGAAGAGCATGAAGAGCACTTGATACTCGTTCTTGAGACGCTACGGGAGAAGCAACTTTATGCCAAATTTTCTAAATGTGAATTTTGGCTAAAGGAAATTGGCTTTCTCGGGCATGTGGTTTCGGGATCGGGAATTGCTGTTGATAATAAGAAGATAGGGGCCATTACCGAATGGGAGAGACCAAAGAACGTCAAGGAAATTTGTGGTTTCCTTGGGTTAGCAGGCTACTACAGGAAGTTCGTGTAGAAATTCTCCGTTTTGGCATCACCATTGACAAAGCTCACTCGTAAAGGAGCTAAGTTTGTATGGGATGACAAATGTGAGAAAGGGTTCATTGAACTAAAGAAGAGATTGATCGAGGCACCGGTACTTGCATTACCCAAACAAGGTATGGGGTACGATGTCTATAGTGACGCGAACATCCAAGGGCTTGGATGGGTGTTGATGCAGGAGGGGAGGGTAAATGCCTATGCTTCACGAGAGTTGAAGAAGCATGAGGTGGATTACCCTACCCATGATCTAGAGCTGGGAGCAGTGGTGTTTGCACTGAAAATTTGGAGACATTATCTCTACGGAGAGACATGTCACATATATACTGATCATAAGAGCTTGAAGTATGTGTTTACTCAGAAAGAGTTAAAACATGAGACAGAGAGGGTGGATGGAGTTGATAAAGGACTACCATCTAGTTATTGAGTACCATCCAGGTAAGGCAAACGTTGTAGCAGATGCCCTCAGTCGGAAGAGTTGTCTGGGGCATTGTCGACTTGTTTGAGGGCATTGAGGGGAACTACGCTGTGCAACCAATCAAGGTCACCAATAGAAAAGTGAAGAAACTGAGGAGCAAAGAGGTCCCAATGGTTAAAGTACTTTGGAAGAGCGACCAGGTCGAAGGGGAGACATGGGAAACAGAGGCTTTGATGAGGAAGCAGTATGCTTTCCTATTCGAGTAGAGCTGTGAATTTCGGGGACGAAATTCCTGTTAAGGGGGGGTGAACTTGTGACACCGCACCCGAACGTCCTTGAAAACTTGATTTTAAAATTCAAAGTTTATGTATTGGATTTCTGATTCCCAAACGATTGTAAAACGATTAATGTTTTACGTAATTAATGATCGATTATTGTACTGTTCGAACTCGTATATAAGTATCGGGCCTTATTAATAAATAAAAGAGCCTAACATTATCTAAATAGTAATACATAACGTTTCAAGACAAGTTGAGGAAGGGCGGGCGGCCGAGATATTATTTTGGGCTCAACCCGCTAGAATAGCAAGTATTCGAGAATGGCGTCGTAGGCCCACTCGGGGGCGACCCACACGGCTTGTAGCCTAATAATATGAATGGCAAATGTCAAAATAAGTGATAGGATGATTTGAGAAGAATACAAATGCCTATAACCCCATCTTTGGCATTATTGAGCTAAATAATGGGAGTAGGGTTTTTCTTCTATAATATTCATCATGTAAATTATTGGGATGCTCATACACATATTGGAGATCAATAATATGATGTAGAGAGTTGACTTGTTCCAAATAAATTAGAATGAGTACAAAGAGACATCTTATGACAAAGAGATCAAAAGTGAGACCCACCCATGTCTAAAAACATCTCATGGAGACCATACCAATTCATTTCACTCCACACAACTTATCCACCCTTATTGAAGGGTCTTGGACACTCCCTTAAGCCCCTCATTCGAACTCCCAAGGATAAGGGAGAAAGAGAGAGCCACACAACCAAGAAAGCAAGAGGAAGGGGAAGCTGCCGCAGGTTCGTTTTCCAGTGCGTAAGGTTACTTGTTTGCTTCATATCTCGAGTTATACACATCCAAATAAGGCGTGCGAGATACCCACAGAAAGCTCTCAAGACGAGGAATCCGTGAAGGTCTGGTTTGCATCAATCGGAGTAGTGTAAGGCTTTCAAATCGTCCGAGCAAAACACAACCTCGCGGAATACGTTGTTGTATTCAAAGTAAGTTTGAATCCAAAACCTTCCTCTCTATTGTCTAAACCATATAAATGATTGAAGAACTATTATACACTGATTGAAGTGTATAAAATGTTATTATAAAGTGACTTTAATTGTTGGAAAAGTTAGATACTAATCTAGACAAAACCTTGAAAGGTTAGGGAACGATTTCGTCGGGAAACACCCGTTCTAGGGACTGTTTTTGTGTCTTCGGTTAGGAGTTGAACTAGCACTTTGAAGAGGCTGTTTAACACTCAATTCCAAGCAAGGAATCAGTCCTCAATCTTCCTTGGCCGAGGCTTTGGTCATTGGATCGAGAAGGAAGGTTTTAAAGCTCATTTGAGGTGAGGATGACCGACTATATTGCTTATAATCTTTGGGTTAATTTCATAAGATTACCTAAAGTAATTAAATGTGATTTTCATGGATTATTAATGATTAATAATGCCTAAATGAAAATATTGATGTTTATGAGTTGAAGATGCATAATATACAAATTTATGGGTAAATGATGTATAGTTATGCATTATAAGTATAACGATGTGATGATTGTATAAACCATGACTTTTGTCATAAAATATACTTTTACTTCATGTATAGAAATCATGAATGGATAAAAGTGATATTTTTGATATTGAGATTAATCATATACGGATTGGGGAATTTAAAGGAATGAATCCTATAACTACGGATTAGAGAGCTTGGTGGCTTAATGATGAATGGACTAGTATTGAAATTACTAGTTGGAAAATGTTAGTATGGAAAAGTGATAGAACAAATCCTAAGGGCTTGGATTGCGAAAGATGCACCTTAAGCAGTCTTATGAGATGTCTTAAGGTAGGAATGGGCAACCGCTAAATTACATTAGGAGTAGGCCTCATAGGCTACTCAAGATAGAGAAACCCTAGGCATAGAATTTGCTTAGTGAGTTAGGATCGTGACTAGAGGAAGCCTCTAGCACGATGAAGAATGACTGGAGGAAGCCTCCAGCATTCGTGTTGGACGACTAGGGGAAGCCTCTAGCGTAGTGTAGGATGACTAGAGGAAGCCTCTAGCATAATGTAATGTGACTGGAGGAAGCCTCCAGCACAAAGTATGTAAGGTGATTAGAGGAAGCCTCTAACACCGAATTTAGTGACTAGAGGAAGCCTCTAGCACGATGAAGAATGACTGGAGGAAGCCTCCAGCATTCGTGTTGGACGACTAGAGGAAGCCTCTAGCGTAG